ATAAAATAAAAATAAAAATTAAAAAAAATAAACTAAAAGTTAAAATATATTAATAATGTTTTAAATAAAAAAAGAATGAAAATCAAAGATACGTTATAAATAAAAAGACTATAAATGTAATTTGAATAGATAATAATATTCAGACACACGGTTCAAGTCGGAATATACAATTCAATCAAACTTCTTATCTGTCGCACATTTCAAATACATAGAAGAATAATTTAATTTGTTTAATCGTTACAAATGTAACGTTTTTCTTATAAATAGACCCTTTCAATTTTATTTTCACTGTACCTAATTTTAGAAAATAATATATTTTAAGTAACGACATGAGTGGAGAGTCAACATGCCAATGTAAAACAATATTTAGGATCATCACAATTAGATTTGGCGACAACGTTGCCAATAATTCATGATGCTATTATGTCACAAGAGTATGCTATTAAATCAAGTCTCCAACAGAACAAAATCTCAAAACAACATCGACTCGACATGCTACATTTCAAAGACATGGTTGAAAGTGTTTCAAGGCATGCACTTGATATAATCTTCAAATAATTTGAACGAATCGGTTTTGTTGGATTCTTCCTTGACAATTGTGGATCTCAAATGCGTAGTAGTCAGGGGTTACCATGTACGCATGAATAAGCGATATATTTTTATAAAGGCAATCCTACACTGGATTCAATTCACGAATTTTGCAATAAACTTGACTGTCAAATCGATGGACCGATGTTTAACACACAATTCAAAAAACAATCAATATTTTCTCAAACTAAAGCACTCGGTCCACGATTGAGCAAAAAATCAACAAAAATAAGACCTTCGATTCAACCAACTCAAGATCCTTTTACACATAGTTTTGATATGTATACGCCATATTACATTCCGTCTATGTATACATTCCGTCAATGTAACTGATGGGTTTGAATCATAAGAACTTTCCTATGTGCACATGCAAACCCTAATGCTTGGATCTAAGTTTCTCTAATTGAACATGCAATTAATCCAAGTCTTGCAAACCCTAGATCTAGTGTATACAATTCAAAATTGAGATAAGAAACTCAGATCTAGATGATTACCTTTTGTAGCTTGCTTGATTCTTCTTGTCTTGGAGCTTAGAGTCACAATTGTCACTCCTCTAATGGCTTACAAACACCAACTAGCAAGAGGATGATTTGGAGAGAGGAGAGAGATATGGAAATCGGCCCTAGGGTTCCAAGAAAACAAGTGTAGCCGATTTCCATAACCTAAGGGGTCTATTTATACTGTGAGCTTGCTAGGGTTTCAACCAAAACCCTAATGGACAACTTAATCACCAAGCAGCCCATGGAACCTTCTGGAGTAAAGCCTTGGACGAAATCTTGATGGGATCCTTCCCATAATTTCGCCCACCCCTTATCCATGAGGGTTTCCTAGCCCAAAGTACAACTATCACACATTTGACAGTTTAAGTCCCTTTATTCAATTAATCTCTTTTAGTCACCAAATTAATTCTCAATTAATCTATGACTAATATTAATTAAATAATATGATTATTCCTTTAATATATCATTCTCATAATATATTAATAAATCATAATATCTTCTCTCTCTCTTCATAAATCACCCTGTCAGGTTGCTATGGTGAAGGCAACCCAAAAGGACCATGCACAACCGGGTGAAGTACTTACCAAATATAGTTACGGGCTTAGACACTAATCCAACAGTAACCATGACAGAAGTGCACAGACTTTTGTATATATAACTAGATTATTTATATTAGAAAAAAGAAAATGATTAGAACTGAAATCAATATATAAAATAAGGGACCCAATGTAAAATTTATTTATATTGCAAATGTACAGCATTGTGTATATAAGCATATACGGGTATGGTCGAAGAACAAATGATTTTCTTCAATTAGGAAGGATATGATAGAAAAATATGAGAAGTATTAGGGTGATTTTGAATAATTGAACAACTACATGTACTTTGTGACTATCTTGAATCCGCGAATGAAGACAAAATTTTTTAGACATGCTTTTGAAACATTGATCAAGTACAAGATGTCGGAAAATAATTTCCTTTCCAAATTAGATATTACTGCAAAAGGCTAAATCTTTAGTAAATGATATTGAAAAGAGGTTTGAGAACTTGGTACAATACCGATTCTAACGTACCATCTAAAACCGTTAGTCAAGATGTCGTGCATATTGATGACAATGACAACTTTTTGGGTGACTATTTTGTTCAATCGGCGAACCCATCGACTTTAAAAGAAACCTAGTTAACACGATACTTGAACGAAGGATAAAACCAAGGTGTTAAAGACTTTGATATACTAGTTTGGTGGAAAAATAATGCATCTCGTTACCTAATTATCTCGCGGATGGCAAAAGATATGATTTTAATTACTTATAGTTTTTATTATAAGGTAGTATAATTTAACATTATATGTTTATGTTATTAGATCTTTTGGGCATTCAAATATAAATATATACCGTGGCATCCGGGTCCACTTTTAGTACAAGCGGCCGCATAATTGATACTTAACGAGCAAACTTGTCCACACCTATAATAAATGCCTGGTTCGCATCCAATATTGGGTAAGGAAATCAAGGAAGCCGATTATTGACAACATCAAAGATATTTTTAAAGATGATGACATCGCTAAAGGTAACAAATAGATTCATTTTATTATCTAATAGCAAAATGTTGGTTATATACTCACTTTCACATTATTTTTTTCCGGTATGTATTAGAGTTGGAAGACGCGATACGCACACAAAACGGAAATGGAAAAAGGTCGATAGATATTAACGAGTAGTTATATTCTTTTTGTTTTTTTTGTTGATAAATAATTATTGGTTTTTAAATGATTGGTTTGGTTGGTTAATGTTTTTAAACTTGAATCATAATTTTGGAACTCGAATCAATCGGTGGTGATGTTATTGTTTGGAATATTTAGATTTTGGTGAATAAGAATAGGCATTTGTTTGTTTAATGAAGATTTATACAAAATTGATTGTTTTTGTTTTATATGTTAGTATTCTCCATCAACGAGCATTCATTCAAATTAAATTTCTTAAACAACTAAAAACAAAACATGCATGACTTTCTTCCATGAGACTACCAAGTCTAACATTCAAAACAATTCAAATCAAAATTCTTAAATAACTAAGCACAAAACAATACATGTTCCTTGACCATCTTGTCTAGTTAACACGTCTTTAATCTCTATACATAAAACAAAAATAAACATATTTAGTATTACAGAAAATGTTACCAAATAAATTAAAAACACAAAACTTATTACCTAGCTATATTATTCGGATTTTTGGCACACATACGTTAATGTCTATTAATACTATTTGTACCGCGTCTCGATGGATCGACTTTAAGTATAGCAAAACAATACTTATACTTTGCTTGCCTTCGTTCAAACTAATCATCTCCTACTACCCACAACATATCAAAAAACATGTGGACCTCTCATTTAATTTCAAGTGCTAAACAAATAAGTAAAAAAATCTAGGTAGATTTAAAGCATGCAAAAAAAAATGAAGTATCAAAGACATAAAACTTATAGATTCAAAACGGAACCTAACTGAAGTATAAAGACGTCAATTACTTTAAATGCATATTTGCATAACATTAAAGATAAATATAATGGATCTAGGGGGTTAGCTTCCATGAATGCTCTTGATAAAAAAAACCAACATCTTCAACCCTTAAACTATAGAGAATAATAAGTTAAGTGAAAATATAGAGATGTAAGAGCTCATTTATAATGAGAAGTTGTGGTGTGTTGACAAAACATCAAAGTGCATCAGGGTGGTTCTCTATGCAAATTGAAAAATCCATTTGATGGTTTAAAGCAAAAAGTGAGTGAATGTAGTCTCATGTCCCGGACGCATAAGAAAAGTTGATTACATGACAAAAAATGGGATGCTTGGCAGGCTGTCCAAATTTATGCATGTGTCCAAACGAAAATTGCTAATGTCAAGATAATTTGTCTTCTTGCTTTTATGTTATTGTTTTCAAAGTTGAAGGTTAAGGATGCATATCAAGTTTGTACATCAAGCTTAAAGATAAATAATTTTTCTTGGATATAGTGTATTAAAATTAGGAAAGTAAAAATGAGTATATTTGGAATCGTACAAGTTTGCAAAAAAACAAGTCAGTGTGGTTGCTTTCATGTGTTTAATTACCAAGGAATATTGACCTGACACATATATCATGTATATTTTTATCCATGTTTTATATAAGAAGTAAATGATGCATATGGAGTTGGGAGTGAAACCTAAAAAAACAAGTCTTGGAAAGGAGTTTGAATCAAACGTAAAATTAAAATAATAGTATTTGGTTTTGAACTTCGGTAATTCCGTTTGATTTTGTTTCAAAATTCTGTTTGATTTTAAGGTTTAAGATATATGAACAAGATGGAGTAGATTTTAGAGTTAATTGCATTGGGTTACAACATATATTTTTTTTCTTTTGTTCCAAAATTCCGGGGTTCCGGTTTCATTTTCGGGTCTAATACAAGAATCCGGTTCCAATTATCTGTTTTTGGTTCCAACCGGCTCCATACCCACTATACACGGTTTGATATCCGCAACTGAACTGAAACCGGTTATAGTGTGTGTATACCGATCCGGTTATCGGTTCTTACATCCGTCAATTCCGGGTTCCTAGTTTTCTGGAAACCGGTAGGTATACTGGTCCAGTTATCAGCTCTTAGGCTAAAGGGAGTGGTAACACTCTTAGCATGTTGGCACATATGATTTTTAAGTTTTTTTCATGACACATAGGCTTAGCATGTCTAGCACAAAAAAGGTAGGGAGTCGAAGTGTGACAATTTAATAGGTTTAATTGTGGGGAAAAAAATTAAAATATATAAAAAAATACAAATCAACCGATACAACACACATTCATGCTTTCTCTCTCCTCTCTCCTCTAGCTACACCCATGACATCTCTTTCTTAACACCCTCCTTGGCATAAGATAGGGAGTGGTGTACACTTTAGAACTTTCCTTTAACACCTCCCTTCCCTTTTGACACCTCCACTCCTTTAGCATTACGATCGGTAAATTTGAGGTTTGATTTTTCCGAAAACCTGTCCTGTTTTAAACTCACTTTCATCTCTACTTGTCGGCACAGACACTGTGAATACCGCGAAGTGGAGTTCAACATGCAGGAATCTCTCATCAGAATCCACAGCAAACCCCAACTGTTTCGAAAACCCTAATTCCACACTCTTCCTCCTGTACAGAATCCTAATTTTTCCATGAGTCTCAAGAATTAGTGTTTATTGATGGCGACAACGATTAAGAAGAACTGGAATCTTGTTGAGGCCAAAGATGATGGTGATGGAGGTGCAGAACAAAAGGGGGGGTTCTGAATCCAAAGCAGAAGCGAAGGAGAATGTTCGGAAGAAGAGAGGCTGGAAACGAGGTCGGAAAGCCAACAACAGGAACACTGGTAATGCTACTAAATCTGAAGAGAAGAAAAATAAACCATGTGTTCGTCAGAGGCAGGCTGTTTATGTAGAAGAAGCAGGGACGATGACAATGGATGCTGACAAGTCAAGTGACGATGATAACAAGTCTCCAGAAGAAACAGAAGAAGGTATGTTTGATGCTGAACCTGCTCTTGCTACTCCTGATCGAGAGGGAAACAGTACCAATAAGAAAGTATTAAACAACAAAGATGATATAAAAGAGTATGTGAGGCCCAGAAGAAGTACTAGGAGTAGGAATGATGGTATTAATTATAAGACTTTCATATATGATGATGATGTAGGGAAGAATAAACAGCAGGGGAAAGAAAATAGTGGTGAAGAAGAACAAGATAAGAAAAGCCAGGCAGCTTCAAGTTCAAGCAAGAAGGATAGTTCAAAGCCAAAGCCAAAGTGGTATGCAAAGCAAATGGTTCCAGATGAATATGTACATTCTGTGTCCCTTGTCTCCCTCTTTCTTTATTCAAATAAATCTACTTGGTTGCTCTTGCAGACATCTGATCATAAATTGAACATCATCTCTCTTTTTTTCCATTCATTGACAGGGAAACCTAGTTCATGTACCATCAGTAATGTGCCATCAGTGTCAAAAGAACGACAAGGGACGAGTTGTTGGGTGCCTGAAATGCACTACAAAACGTTACTGTGTGCCTTGCATGACAAGATGGTATGAGTTGTTAAAACTTAAAACCTTTTCTTCTTTTTCAGCTGAGCAACTGTATTATGAAATTTGCTTGTTTTCTCGGCTTTTTCATCTTATTTTCTTTTGTTTACTCTGTTCTGTAGGTACCCTAACATGACAGAGGAGATGTTTGGTGAGAGTTGCCCTGTTTGCCGTGACATTTGCAACTGTAAATCTTGCCTGCGTGATGTGCACCCAAAAGTTGGTTCCTGCAGCTCATCTTTTGTTATGGAACTTATTGCTCTTCTTTCCCATACCCAACAAATACTGAATCTGTTGGTGGGTTTTTAGGTCAAACAAAAGATCGATTTCAAACTCAATGATGATCAGAAAATCCGGTATTCTGTTTATATCCTACATGTGCTTCTTCCATTTTTGAAGCGTCTCAACGAGGAGCACATAAGGGAGAAAGTAATAGAGTCTAAAATTCAAGGTATTTTTTTATTGTTCATCTCAGTGCTCTTGCTGTATTTTAAAGATACAGTTCCTAGTTCACATTATAATCTGAATCAGTATTGCCACATATGTGATTCTTGACTAATGATGATGACTGTTTTATTCTTATGAAAAAGAGCTTCGATTTAAATGAGTACGTTGTTGAGACTTAAGGAAACTTCAAGGAAAGATGTTTGTTGCAGTTTGATTTAACTTCTAAAACTGAACTTCCATTTTTTTTTTATCTTCTTAAAGGATTATGCATCTGTACCAGCTTGTTCTTGGTTCCTTTCAAAATTGAGCAAAATAGTGCGAAAAATGCTCTCTTGTTGATTATTGTCAGTCGATTGTTTTTTCATGGTTTGGTGTTGAGTTGGAATGTGATAGTGTGACTTTGTTCACTAAAAGGGTGGTTGAAATGGATAATCAGCAATCGGCCACATTTTAGTTAGGTTTTTATAAATTTATCTTCTTGGGCAGGGTGTTCTGTATCAGAGGTACAGTTGAAGAAGGAAAGTTGCAGTTCATTTGAGCGCATGCACATTTACTGGTATGTCATTTCAAGGATTGCACAAACGTTTTAAGGATTTGGATGTATAATGATTTCCTATTTTGATTGTCCCCATGATGTATGCAGTGACTGCTGTAAAACATCAATTTTTGACTTGCATAGAAACTGCCCTTCTTGTCAATATGACCTCTGCCTTCAATGTTGCTGGGAATTGCGAGATGGCAATCTTCAAGGAAACAAGGAAGAAGTTATCATTAAAGTCAAAGATCCAGGTCCTGATTACTTACACGGGGGAAAGCCTTACTTACATGAAGGAAAGCCCCTTGAAGTTAAGAAGGCTGCTGCAGCCCTCAAGAAAAGAAAAAAGGGGAGTTATGCACCAAAGAAAAAGCAAACTCATGAATGGAAGTCTCTGGATGATGGCAGAATTCCTTGTCCTCCAAAAAGCATGGGTGGTTGTGGTCGTGGGATTTTAGAGTTGATGCACACAAAGCCACTTGACAGAGTTACAATCTTGTTGGAGAAAGCACAAAAGCTCTTAAAGATGCACAAACTGGAGGACAATATATGGGATATGTCTGAGAAATGGTGCTCATGTTCAGATAATGTGAATGGTAGTGATTGTGGTGATAAACAGTCACGTAAAGCTGCTTCTCGTGAAAGTTCAAATGACAATTACTTGTATTGTCCACGTGCTATAGACATTAAACCAGGAGATTTGAAGCATTTTCAATGGCATTGGTCAAAAGGGGAGCCAGTAATAGTCAGCAATGTTCTTGAAACTACTCTTGGGTTGAGCTGGGAACCCATGGTCATGTGGCGTGCTTTTCGCCAGATTTCAAATACTAAACGCGACAAGCTATTGGATGTGGCTGCTATTAATTGTTTGGATTGGTGTGAGGTTGGCTAAGTATTCCCTTTTCTATTTTACATTGCTTATTTTATTATCTGTGTTTTGTGGTAATTGGTTGTTGGGGGAATATTAGGGTGATAGGGAAGAACACGATTCCTTATGGATCGTGTACAGTCACTTTCCGAATTTCCGAACTGAGTTTTCCACCCTATGCCGGGTTACAGGAAATCCGGTCTAGGATAATCCAAAAGGACACTTGTGTATCTAGGCATAAAAACACAAGTCAAAATGTCAGACGAATTCTGAGTTTGTAGTAGAAGAGAGAGAGTTCAGAAGAGTACGACTCTAAAGAGGAGTCGTATATATACATGGCAAATTAGGGTTTTTATCTTCTAAATTAGTTAGGAGAATCACAAAATTAATAGCTTAATCAATGGTTTCCAAATCTGGAAAGATTTGTCAATCTTGTCGCCAGGGGCTCTGCCCCTTGGACCTGCTAGGGGCGCTGCCCCTAGGACCTTGTAAGGGGTTGCGCCCCCTTGTTAGACTATGTAATTTACATTTATAATAAGTAGAGGGTATTAAAGTGTAATATATACTCTTTATATAGAGTTCATATGTATTGCTATAAAATATAATACAATTACACGGTTCGACTTGGTATCAAAGCCAAGAAACCTCTTGCCGCCTCTAAACATGGTTGTTATTGTTGCCTTTACTGCTGCAAGAGAAAACAGCCCACAACACTCACAAATTCACCTTCATCCTCTCTCCTACAAACTATGGTTTTTGGAAGGCTTCTTAACTACTTACCATCTGATTGGCTGTGATGGCACCATTCAATGCCCTAAACAGAAAGTTACAACAGGAGATGCAATAACTGATAACCCTAGTTATCTCCCTCGGATTGCCAACGATGCACATGTTCGAATGATAATTCTGTCAACAATTTCTGAAGCGTCTTTCCAACATGTTCAAGGTACAACTTCTAGAGACCTTTGGCTTTCCTTAGAACGTGCATGGGCACCAAATTCTGCTTCTCGTGAATACACGTTAAAAACACAACTACTTCGCATAGAGATGAAAGGAGACGAAACTCCACTTAACTATCTCAGTCGAGCAATGGAATATGCATGAGCTCTCGCCAACATTGGCGAATCTATGAAAGACAAAGACCTGGTTATGTTCACCATCTCAGGTTTACGAGATGAGTACAATGGTTTGAAATCAAACCTTTTGGCACGTCAACCACCAATCACTTTTAATGATCTGCATGCCCTCTAGTCTATTCATGTTCACCATCTCAGGTTTACGAGATGAGTACAATGGTTTGAAATCAAACCTTTTGGCACGTCAACCACCAATCACTTTTAATGATCTGCATGCCCTCTAGTCTATTCATGATTACATGATCAACAAATCAGCCACCTTACCCATTACCACCCCACCATAGGTATATGCTGCCACAATTGGAGGTGCTTCTACTATTTTTTTACCTTATCTCGCTGCTATTCAGTCTCAACTTAACAACGTGCAGTTGTTAGCCTCTCAATTAGGGTGTCAACTAAATCCTATGTGCTCACAAAACACCCAACCCCACACTTACTATGCCTCCAGGGCATCAAACAATCGAGGTAACCAAAACGTCAAGGCAACATTCGTGGCAACTCACGAGGTAACTAGAATAACCAAGGTCGTGACAACAACTCAACACTCGCCAATTCCAGTGGGTTTCCACTCACTGTGTACGGTTACTGCAACCGTTGTGGTATAGGTCACCTACCATATCATTGCCCAAATCAGCCTAACAGGTCTAACTCTCAAGCTAATATCGCCACCTGTTCCGATTCTGCATCTACATCAACAGCAACATGGTTCACAAATACCAGTGCAAATAGTCATGCTACTCATGACGTATGAAACCTTGACAACTTTGAAGCATATCATGGTAATGACTCACTCAGTGTTGGTGACGGTAACCCTCTTACCATTTTTCATATTGGTTCATCAAAATACCTTTCTCATAACAAACCTTTAATCTCACAAATATTCTCCATGTTCCTCAACTTCATAAGAATCTTTTATCTGTCCAACAGTTTTGTCATGACAATGATGTTTATTTTCAGTTTCACACTTCTTTCATTGTTGTGAAGGACGAGGCTACCCACTCTTTCCGCCTTTCTGTCCAAGCAATAACGGGTTCTACTCGCTTCGTCTTCCTCAACTCCAACCCCTTCCTAAGCTCGCCTTCATAGCCACCAAAGCTTCGTCCGTCACTTGGCATCAATGTCCCGGTTATCCACACGAACGTGTTTTTAATTCTATTGTTTCTAGTTGTTCTTTGTCAGTTTCTACAAAACTTAGTTCCTCTTTATGTACTTTTTGTCAGTTAGGCAAATCCTCTGAACTTTCATTACATAACTCTACTTTTCACAATAATAAAATCTTAGATTTGGTATATTGTGATGTTTGGGAACCCTCCCTCACAGTCTCTTCTGATGGTCATAAATATTTTCTCTTATGTGTTGATCATTACTCTAGGTACATGTGGTTTTACCCACTTGCACATAAATCTGATATTTACTCTACATTTACAAATTTCACTACTATGGTTGAACGACAATTCAACACCAAACTCAAAAGTGTACAAACCGATTGGGGAGGGAAATTTTGTCCTCTCACTTCCTCACAAACCTTGGCATCATTCACCGACTCTCGTGTCCTCGTACCAATGAACAAAATGGAATTGTTGAGTGTCGCCATCGCCATGTTGTGGAAACCAGTCTTGCTCTACTTACCCAATCCCATGTCCCACAACGTTTTTGGCACTTTGCCTTTGAAACTGCCGTTTATCTTCTAAATCGTCTTCCATCTAGAATCTCTTCAAATAAATCACCCTTTCAACAAGTCTACAACCAAAAATCGGACTACTTATTTCTTCATGTTTTTGGTTGTCAATGTTTTCCTCATCTTTGTCCTTATAATCATCACAAGATTGATTTCCGTTCCACACCATGTGTCTTCCTTGGTTACAATCCTATCTACCATGGTTATCGTTGTTTTGATCCTACAACCGAATGCATATACATAGCCCGCAATGTCTGTTTCAATGAATATGTTTTCCCGTTCAACTCTTCACCACCACAACCGCCTACTTCCCCTACTCCTTATATCTCTATCTTTCCTACACCACCTCTCATTATGGATCCCGTCTCCCAGTCCACTCCAGATCTACCAACACTCACTCACTCATCTTCCTCTACACCACCCCCTCCGCCATCACCACCTCAACGACCCTAACCTCCCAATCTTTGTCAAAATCCCACACACACCTCTCGATATGATCCATCTGCTTACACTTCCACCTGTTCATCTTCTTCTCATACCGAACCAACTTCATTTACTGTTGCCAACAGAACTCCTGAGTGGCGTCTTGCCATGACTGAGGAGTTTCAAGCGCTTTATACGAATGCTACATGGTCCTTAGTTCCGTATGTTAGTTTCATATGTTAAAAATACTAACCTTCGTGATTGTAAGTGGGTATATAGGTTAAAGAAGGATCCACAGGGTGATGTTACTCGCTACAAAGCATGGCTAGTCACCGAAGGATTTAATCAACAACCGGGTGTTGACTATAATGAAACATTCAGTCATGTGATAAAGTCAACCACCTTTAGGGTCATTCTGTCCCTTGCCGTGACCAACAACTGGGTTCTCCGACAATTGAATGTGAAAAACGCATTTTTACATGGTGACTTACAAGAAGTTGTTTCCATCGAACAGCCTCATAGCTTAGTTGACCCCACTAAACCAGACTCTGTATGTCTTCTCCACAAGTCCCTTTATGGGATAAGCAAGCTCCACGAGTGTGGTTTACCCGGTTGTCCACAACTCTAACTGTACTTGGTTTCTCAGGATCCAAAACTGATCCTTCGCTCTTCATCTTCAACTCTGGTGGTACTATTGTTTATGTTCTGGTTTATGTAGACAATATTATTATGGGTTTTATGCAGAAAAGTCTCATTATTTTGGGAAATTTTTTGATAAAGTCCTACATCTTTTTTTTTTTAACAGAAAAGCGTTGATTATTTAACATTTTGCCCAAATTAACGAAAAAGTCATTTTTTGTAGTTTAACAGGAAATGACAGATTATGTGATTTCCCTAAAAGAATGAGACTTCTCTGTTATAAAAAAAAAGATTTAGGACTTTATTGAAAATCTTCCCAAAATAATGGGATTTTTTTGCATAAAACCCATATTATTATCACTGGTAACAACAGTCAGCTATTGACTGCATCATAAGTCGTCTCAGTTTTACTTTTGCAATTAAAGATTTGGGTCAACTTCATTATTTCTTGGGCATTGAGGTTGTTTATGACAAGAAGACTCTTGTGTTGTCTCAACGAAAGTATATTCTCGAGATTCTTAAACGGTTAGGTCTCTCTGACTGCAAGCCAGCTTGTTCTCTAATGAGTCCCTGTTACCTCTTGACCATTGATGATAACCCATCGCTTTCTGATCCAACCATGTATTGTCAAACTGTTGGCGCTTTGCAATATGCTACTTTATCCCGCCCAGATATTACTTTTGCTGCCCAGTCGACCATAGATCCACCGGGGGATTTGTTATATATTTGGGATTCAATCTTTTCTCCTGGATTGCCCGTAAACAAAAGATGGTTTCAAGGTCTTCAACTGAATTTGAGTACAAAGCTCTTGCTGACACTGTTGCATAATTAATTTGGTTAAAAGCACTCTTGCGTGAACTTGGCACATCGATTTTGTCTCCTACTCTTTGGTGTGACAATATAGGAGCTACATATCTATCCGCCAATCTTGTGTTCCATGCACGCACTAAACATGGCGAGGTAGATTTTCACTTTGTTCGTGAGCAGGTAGCAAGATGTCATCTACAAGTTCAATTTATATCTACGTATGATCAGATCGCTGATGTCTTTACAAAACCGTTATCTGCTCGGAGATTTTAGCTCCTAGGGTCCAAGTTGCAGGTTGTTCTCCACCCTAAACTTGCGGTGGAATGTTAGACTATGTAATTTACATTTATAATAAGTAGAGCCGTAGAGGGTAGTGTAGTGTAATATTATACTCTTTATATAGAGTTTATATGTAATTTTGTAAAATATAATACAATTACACGGTTTGACTCCCCTTAACCCCCGCCATTCTGTTATACCGGCTTATCATATGATCTTATATATGCATGCACTCCGCACTCACCAAACATAATATAGAGTACAAAATAATAAGCGCCTTTAGCTTACATAATAGTTTCAATTACACAAAATGTCCGGTGACACTAAAATCACCAACATTGGTGAGTGCTAGTGACTACTGAGTAAGCTATACACCCAAAGAAGAGTTGCAAGTACTTGGGATGTATTGCATAAAGAGGGTGGTTAATTTGAGGAGGAACCATATGTGTTTTACTTCAGGGTGGCTATAAGGCCAATTTTGTTGTATGGTTCCAAAAGTTAGCCGATTAAAGAGTACCTAAGGAAGATGGAGTTCACACAAATGAGGATGTTGTGGTGGACATGTGGTAGACTTTATTTCTTCATTGTGTCATATGTAGGAGATCATCTTGTGTGGGCTCACAATTTTCTTTTTCTTTTTCTTTTTCTTATGTCCAAGGTCAACTATGGAAACAGTCCCCCTACTTTAGGGTTAGGGTAGAGAGGTTGCCTACATGCTACATCTTACCTCCCCTTTACCCCATTCTCATGGGAATGGAGTAATGTTGTATGGTATTTGCTACAGTTCGTACAAGCTTGGGAGAATGTTATCTATTTCTCTTAATATTGCACCTCTTTTTTTGAACACATTCTAGAACTTTGGTCGATTTGTCACCCTTTATGTTAGATGTTTGCCTTTTAAGTTAATACTACATTTAGATATGTTACATGCTTAATCAACTTCTCATGGCATGCAGGCTGATATAAATGTTCGTAACTTTTTTAATTGGTATACGGAAGGTCAATATGATGAAGTTGGGTGGCCTCACATTCTAAAGTTGAAAGACTGGGTATTATCAAATTTATTTGAAGAACTGTTGCCACGTCATGGTGTTGAATTCATCACTTCCTTACCCTTTAAAGAATATACACATCCACGTGATGGCTACCTTAATCTTGCAGTCAAGTTGCCTGACGAATCTTGTAAGCCAGACATGGGTCCTAAAACATATATAGCTTATGGTGTTCATCAAGAATTGGGACGTGGTGACTCTGTAACTAAACTTCATTGTGACAAGTGTGATGTGGTATGTTTTTTTCTATTTAGTTAAGCCAAATTCTTCTGCTTGAAATTTCCTGTTCTGATTCTAGACAGACACAATATCATCTGTATTGGATTTGATCGAGTATCATTGGAATTGAATTTGGCTTTCTAGGCTTACTTTGGTTTCTCATTTCTTTTGGTTATAGTAGTTGCATTTCAGATTGTCTGAGAAGAATTTGGTTTGCTAATGGCTTCACCATCTTCAAAGAGATATATTCTCTATTTTGCACACCAAGACCCAACCTGCTTTGGATTTTATATATTTTCATTCATGAATATGTATTCTGGTGACATGCAGGTGAATGTGTTGACTCATACTGCAACTGTGACCCCTGCCCTTGAACATCGTAAATTGATAAAGGAGTTGAAGCAGCTGCACAAGGCTCAGGATGCTAAGGAACTATTTGGACTGGTAGTGAAGACACAACCTGATGTTGATAACACGAAAGCTACTACTGATAAATTAAATAAATTGAAAGAAAAAAGAAGGTGCCTAGTTAAAACATTTGTTGAATCTACAGTTGAAAAAAACACGAGTGATGACAATGTGGAAGAAACTTACTGTGTTAACAGTAGAAGCAAGCGAAAACGTGGGCATGAAACAGGTTCTTGTCTTGTGACAACTGCTAGTGATCAATCAGATGAGTCTGATAGTGTGATAGAAAAGTTAGGAGGAGAATGGATTCCATTAAAAAAGTTTTGATAAGCAGGATGATATTTCAGGTAGTTGTGTGGATGGATCTGATTCTGATCTGGAAGAGGGAGGTGCTTTGTGGGATGTGTTTAGGAGGGAAGATACTCCTAAACTGCAGGAATATCTCAAAAAACACTTCAAAGAGTTCAGACATGCCTTTTGTCATCCACTACAGCAGGTAATCTTTATTTATGTGTAATAAGGATATTCGAACAGTCTTTTGGACCTTTTTAGGGGTCATTTGATAGTTGCTAACTGGTTTAGAAGTTCTGACTGAGTTAACTTCTGACTGAAACTTGCTGTTTGATTTTGCATCTGACTGACTGTGCAAACTGACTATATTACCCTCACACAACATTTTTAATAATAGTTCATTGGGTTACTGGCTCAGGTAAAACACTAATGAAAAAGGTCATTCTCTCAAAGACCCTTCCACACTCTCATCTCTAAAACACTCTCATTTCTTGACACACATATGAAAACATAAATTTTGATTCAACATGTGGAACCAAACATACACATAATATTTTTGTACCCAAAATACCCCTGCTCATCAAAATTTTATACATAGCAAAACAAATCAACAACACACCAATTAGCTTCTAGACATTTCATATTGCAGTTGTAATTGTTAACAAAAACCCACTATAACTTCATATACAGGGCTTAGAAGAAAACAATCAGCAACTCAAAACTTTTTAAACTCATCAACAAGCAGTTTACTGATTACAAAATCATTAATGGACTCTTGTATCAAATTAACACCAATTAACTTCTAGACATTTGGATCATCAGAACCTTAAATTCTTGCATCTGCTTCAAGTTATTCCAAGACTGCTACCAAAGTTTAGTTTCATATACTTTTATGTTGCCACCTCCATCTGTCGCCTCCAATGTCAGATGATACATTTTACCAGCCACCACCTGGTCTTTTGCCTTTACTAATCTAGATAACTTTAGAGATGAGTTCTGCTTCTGCATACAATGATACAATAGCAAATCAATGGCTGATCACGACTAAAGATGGAGAAAAGATTTGAAGCCGATATATAACCAAATTTTCAATCTTAAATCTGTGACATATGTTCCTCAAATCTTCAATATATACAATCTCAAACTCGAGATGGATATCAATCACAAAAACCATGAAAACAATGCATATATCGTGTTAATTGAAAACAACAAAATCAGAAATTTCAGCAAAATGGGAAAAGCGGGAACAGAAAAATCAGAAATATGCACCTGAGTCGGAGGAAGACGAAGGTGATGTGGAGTCGGAGCTGATAGCAGGGGAGATTGCTTCTGCTTTCTTTCTGTGGAGGCGTTTAGAGGATTAGGGCAAAATGGGAAATCAAATATCATCGACCGAGTCCATGAGTTTTAAAGCCAATTTGGAATTTTTGGACCTAGTTGGAAGCCTTGTCAAACACACCCTTACCATATTAGTTTTTCCAGATCGGGAAAGATTCAAGCTTTCATGTTTTGTTTTTTTGCCAAGTTAAATATTTTTGTCTTCTTACATAACTAGTGCTGTCATTAAAAAAGGCAATGGTAAAGTAATCTGAAATTTAGAAGGTAAACATGAGGTGGATTGTGGAGATTGAATGTATTGTACTTGGATAATTTTTGAGTGGATAGTAGTCCACTTTACTAAGGGATCACTATCTATTACTACCCTTGTTATTTTCACTTCACTCATCGAAACGATAACAACTTCACATATTAAGTCCTCTCAGGTTTCATATTTAAGGTCAAATTATTTTAATTCTGGGGAAGCTATATGCCTTGTAAACTGAGTGTAGATGCATCAGTCGTGCATATTGTTTCTTTTATAGAAATTCTTATGTGTAGCATTACATTCCTAAACAGTCATTTCTCAAACTGTTCCATTGTATTTTTTTGGTCCAGGTTATCCACCCAATTCATGACCAAACATTTTACTTAACCATGGACCATAAAAGGAAGCTCAAGGAGGAGTTTGGTTAGTATGCATTTGCAAGGCGTGTTATGTATCAACTTTCACTGATATTGGATTTTATGATTGTGCTCATTTTTTTTTGGTTATGATCAGGAATTGAAGCATGGAGTTTTGTCCAAAAGCTTGGAGATGCTGTCTTTATACCTGCTGGGTGTGCCCATCAAGTTAGAAATTTGAAGGTTAGCAACTTAACTACTAGTTCTTAGATTCTTTTTTGCTGCATTAAATTTGAAAATAATAGGACTCAAGATTTGATGTTGTGGGGTTCACTAAGTTGTTGACATAATTTTTGAGATCCATTTCCTGAAAAAAAAAAAAATGGTCATCCATCGGTCTTCGAGACATGTTTTTCTTGATCTTTGATTTCTCTTTGAGGGTTTCTACTTTCTAGTCATCTGAACATTGTGAGTTATGTATGCTTTCAACATGCTTCATAAGACAAAATGCTCTCACAACAAGCTTTCAACATCTAAAATGCTTCTAATTGATATATGCATATACATATATCAATTTGTGAAAAATATAAAATTTGAAAATTGGTCTTGATTGCGATTGTTATATCTAACTCGTCTCTGAGTTTTATCTCTTGTCATATTAAGTGAATAAATATGTTTTTTTTTGTGCAGTCATGTATAAAAGTTGCATTGGAATTTGTTTCTCCCGAAAATGTTGGTGAATGCATTCGGTTGACAGATGATTTCCGCCTTCTTCCCCAAAATCATAAGGCTAAAGAATATAAGTTGGGGGTAAACAGTCTCTTCTTTGAATGTTGCAAACATTAGATATTTCTTAAACCACCAAAAGATTTGAGTTATATGTTGTTGAAGACAGGTCAAATTTGTATATCTAGAAAATTAGTAAAAAAGGTAACAGGTTTTTAATCAAAAATAGTAGATTGTTATTTTAGCAATTTTAGTTACTTATGCGATTAATAAAACTAACATTAAAGTGTTGCCTTGTGCTACACATCAGGTTTAGCCACGGATTTGATCTAATCTAGGAGTATTTTGAGAAACTCAGCAAATAAAGAGTGTCTTATTAGTACATGGGCATTTTAGGCATTTACTTTAATTTATTGGTTATGCAGAATGCTTACATAGGAGTAGAGAGAATGAGTGTTGGGCATCTTTTGTGTAAATCTGGAATTTATTCCTTTTTCTCGAATTTGCCAAACTATCTTTTTTCTTGTAGACATTTGGGTATTATTGAGTGTTCCTAAATCCATACAGTGAGTTTTGTTCTATCTGCTCTTGTTATTGATTTCAAGTTCTAAGTCAGTTCATATCACCTTGCCAACACAACTCGTCTAACATCAACCCGTCTATTTTGCTACATATCTAATGTTGGATTCTAAATAAATTTCTTGCTTTTGTGACTTTATTGTACACATGGCATCAATTTATGCTCATAATATTATCAGTTTCATTAATTTTGATTGATTTGTTATAGATTAAAATGGTGCAAAATAGTTGATGCTGCTAATTAATTAATTACAGGTGAAGAAAATGGCACTCTATGCAGTGGAGGCAGCTGTGAAGGACTTGGAAAAATTTGATACCAAGTAAGTGAACCATTTTTTAGACTATTTTAATCGGCAATTTGGTCCAATCAGTCACAAATAAAACGAAAAGGAAATCAATTGGAAAAAAAGAGAACAATAACTAGTCAGCTACCCAATCATTGGCTGGCCATTTTTACTTGCTTTACTTTCCATGTGGCATTTTCTAACCGAGTGGTTTCTATTATTTTTGGAAAAATTTATATGGTATAATTCAGATGTTATTTTTATTTAAAGAACATAATACACCCAAATTCAATTTTTTTTCCCTTTATAAATAGAGTCTAGTATGTGTACCAATTTTATTTCTCATCTCTTTATATTCATATTGTCGATCTAACCTATCTGATTTTTAGGAACTCTTCTGAAGACTCACAAGATTATCCAAACCCTCAATGCAATAAAAATCTCATTTTATTCCGGATCTTGATCAAGTTCCAATCATTGAAAATCTACAAATTTCACAAAGCACAGAAAATAGTGCTAATTGTGAAGTGGGTTTACACATAGATTGTGAAAATCTCCAAACATCGCAAAATACTGAAACCGATGTTAGAGGTGAAGTGGGATTACACATAGATCATGAAGATCTTCAAACCTCACAAAATACTGAAAATGGTGGTGCAGGTGAAGTGGGATTACAAATAGATTGTGAAAATCTTCAAAACTCACAAAATACTGAAAATGATGCTAAAGGTGAAGTGGGATTAAATGTAGATTGTGGAAGTCTACAAACCTCACAAAATACTGAAAATGGTGATGCAGGTGAAGTGGGATTACAGATAGATTGTGAAAATCTCCAAACCTCACAAAATACTGAAAACTATGCTAGACACAAAGTGGGATTGCCAATAGATTGTGAGACAACACCTTCACATTCTGATCATGAAGTGGGCAATGAAGAAAGTGGTGGCAACACAGAAAGATCAAGGAGTGGTGAAGAAGGAGATCATTGTGTCCAATCCAACCCAGAAACGCCAAATAATAGTGGTTCAACAAGTCGCCCTTGTACAAGTAGAGATGCATCTAAAATGGAAGGAAAATGTAAGGTATCACAACCGTCTTTGTCTCCTAATGAAATTGTTGCAGAACTTCGTGCAATTAGAGTTACTAGAGACAATGAAGTTGAAGTCATGAGAAAAAGACTCGACTTGGAGCAAAAAAAGGAAGAAAGGAAGACCAAGAAGATGCATCACATGCACCTTAATACACTTTTGGCGAAAGAGCATTTGTCGCCAAAAGATGAAGACATGAAATGCCATCTCTTGGCGATGCTGTATGGAAAGTGATTGGAAACCATTTTACGTACATGAGGATCTTATCTAACTGTAATGTTGTATCTTGTGCAAATGTTTGTAACTTGGTTTGTTTCTTTTCAATTTTGTATTGTGGCTATAATCTTTATTGTACTGTTATTTATTCTAATGTATGGCAATTTTATCTAATCATTAATATGGTTCTAGAATGTGAACTGATTTTTTTATATATTTCTTATCTCTCAAGTTGTATTGCCCTCCTATTACAAGGCATCAACAATTCTTTCTTGGGCACAATTTATCAATAACCACACCATCACCATGTAGTGATACTTGTGATCACAACCCAAAGAGTGTTAGACATCTAATTTAGATTTACAACTCTTGCATCTTTTCCATGAATAGGTAGCCACGAAGACGAAGTTGGTGTGAATTTATGAGGGCTCAAGTGGGTTCTATGAACCAACTACATTGCTAATAGAAGTGTAAAAAACAAAGCTTGATTGTAGCTGAGAGGTATTTTAACATCCTCCTCTAAAATAAGATGAAGTGATTTTACTCGATTGGTGAAATAAGGAAGCTTGTACGAGTGTGCCCATATATAACAAGTGTGGGGATGTTATTGCACCGAAGATATAATTGTGCTTAAGATATGATATTAAGTATGAGGCTTGTACGATTGTGCCCATATATAACAAGTGTGGGGCTTGTACGATTGTGTCCATATATATGATCCTAAAGGATCACACTAACAACTTGATGCAAATATATTATTTATAAGAATTTGATCCTTGATAAATAAATATAACTCTTGTAATTAATTAGAAATTATTTATTTCATGGAAATATTATTTTTCAATTTAAGTATTAAAATATATCATAATATATCATAAGGTGTAATTTATTATGTCATGTATATCTTTTTGGACTAAAAAGACTTTCGTCTTTTAGCTAAAAGGATAAGGTTTTTGTTGGATTAAGTGTAAGGTCTTAATTAAATTGGTATAATATTGAAAAATAAAAGTAAAGTTTTTTTTTGGTTGCCCTTATAACCAGGAAATAATTTGGATTGATTATGAGAGAGAGAGAGAGAGAGAGAGAGAGAGAGAGAGAGATGATTTATTAATATATTATATGATTAATATATTAATTAGTAATAATAATAATTAATTAGGATTTAAACATAATTAATTTAGAATTAATTATGAGTTAATTAGAGTTAACTAGAGGTATAAGGATTGGACTGCAATTGTTCAATAGTTAAACAAATGAGAGGATCCAGAACCTTCCTAGGGGTGGACAGTTCTGGGAGCCCTTGATATGGTTTTTGGAAGTCTTCTACTCAACTAAGGAAACAGAATTTGAATAAGAATAAAATAACATTATTTTATTATTCAAACTTAGAGTTTCTAGGTTATTTGACAAGTATAAATATGGGTGTTCCCTAGCCAAATTCGGCTTACACAAATCATACCTCAATAAATAAGATTTTCTACTCACCTCTCTCTCCTATATTCAATCCTAGGGTTTCCTAGGGTTTTAGGTGTGACGCATTAGAGGCTACCATATAATTGGAACTAATTTTCCAAGGAGATCTTCAAGTGCTTGATAGGTTAATTCGTTTTAAACAAATATATGTTTCTTATCTATGATTTTCGATTATCAATAGGGTTTTAGTTTTGTTTCATAAAGTATTTTGTTATTAACAGTGAAAAGCCATATAATTTTTAGGCTGCATGTAACCTTAAATGTTAAGTGAAATTCTGCAAGTATAATGTTATTGTTACATAAGAACCCTAATAGTGGTATAAGAACCTAGCTTTGTCAATTAGTAGTACATAAAGATGAAACCAGAAAACCTGAAAAAATCGATAATCTGTATTGGCCACGACATGGGAACTGCCTGAAAACAAAATTCGGGATTTTCTTGCCTTATTCAAAAGATAGGATAATTATTAGTTATTTAATATTATTTTAAATACTTAAAATCTGAATATTATAGCTAGATAATTAGAAATGCTAAATTTGAATATAAGGAAGTATTACAAATATAATTATCCAATTGTAAGATAATTAGATAATGGAATTATCATAAGATTTAATATTAATTAAAAGTTTAATTAAAGATAATCATTAAATCTTAATAGTTCAAATATTATATAATTAAAGGTTAATTGAATTGCTAAAATTTAAACCTTGTAATTTAAAAAAAGTTTTAAAATACATCTTACACATATAAAAGCTCTAATAATTTATGTATAACTAAATGGCCAGTCACATAGTTATAGACCTCATTCACGAAGCCACACTATAAGAGATGTGTAAGTAAACGACCTATAAAATGATCGTTAAATGAGTGTCTTTTCATCCACCGACCTATAATACTATATGTATAACTCAAAGGTCAGTCAAATCGTTAGTAGGCCTCATTCAAGAAGCCACATTATAAGAGAGGTATAAGAAAACAACTTATAAAATGACTGTTAAATGAGTGTCTTTTTCACCATCCGCTTCTTTGTGTAGTGGAGGGTCATTAGCCAAAAGGGTTTGATATGATATAATCAAATTAAAAGTATAATGTATAAAGTACTAGAACCTTTCATAAAATCTCCTCTAGTTACTTTCAGAAAAATGTGAAATTGTATGCTAATCTATGAAAACACACATCATTTCTTTGTGAATCGTTAGTGAAGTGTGCATGGTTAACAAACACACTAATGTGGGACTACAAAGAAGAGAAAGATGGCACATACTCAATATTTATGGTTATTAACAGAGCGTGTTTGGTTAACCAGCACGTCAATGTGAGATCATAAATGACCTTAAGGATGTGACATGGGTTTGCATGGTTATTTACATCTTGTTTGTGATTCTCGGCATCCCAATCACAAATCAAAGAGAATAACCTGAGATTAAACATGCCATTGAATAGTACAACGAATATCGAAAGATCTAGGAATTTCATAAGAGATTGAAATGGGTAAAGAGCTTTACCTACTTAAAATAAATTCATAATTACATTACGACATCCATTTTCTTAATTTTGAATTGTATTTGTAGATCCTAGCTTTGAATATTAATTTGGGTTAAAATATTAAGGATAAATCAACTAACTAAAATCTTGTATCTCATTTTAGATATCTAGAAATGGTGATCTTCCTCCTCCTCTTCCCACCTTTCACAACTTCACTTTATTGTCAGTCCTCTCAAAGGATAAGCTTATTGGTCCAAACTACATGGACTGGATATGAAGTTTTAAGATGACATTGATACGAGGATAAAGAATATGTTCTTGATAATCCCGTTCTAGAAATTGATAAATCGATTGCTACTCCTGAGGAATTGGTAAGATACAATATGCACGTTGACGACATGACTAAGGTTTCTTGCATTATGATTGCAACCATGTCACCTGATCTTCAAAAGTCCTATGAGGACTACTGGCCTTATGCAATGAACTTGTCTCTTGCTCAAATGTTCCATAAGAAAGCAAGGCAAGAGCATTATGAAGTCGTCAAGGACCCTTATGGCGTGCAAGTTTAAAGAAGGGGAATTTGTGTGTGCTCATGTGCAGAAAATGCAGAGACATGCAGAAAGATTAGAGAAGATCGGTGTGAACTTTGACAAGGATCTTTCCATTGACATGGTGCTCAACTCCTTGACCGGGAGTTATGACCAATTCATCTTGACCTATCATTTGAACAATACTGAGATCACATTGATTGAGCATCACAATCTATTACATATAGCTGAAACAAGAATGAAGAAGTCTCATTCTAGTGTTGTTGCAAGTGCCCCAATCATGGCTATTCAACAAGGAACATGGAAGAAGAGAAAGGCCTACTCCCAACCAAAGTGGAAAGGAAAAGCCCACATTGGAGAGTCCAGTGGGTCAAAGTGAAAGGTCAACTTTGATACTCCTCTTATCGGTGATCCACCAAAAGAAGTTGTGTGCTTTCATTATGGCCATAAGGGGCATAGGAAGAGAAGCTGCTCGAAGTACTTACAAGAAATGAGAGATGCTAAAGGCAAGGTGTTTGGGTCTTCTTCCAGTATATATTCTATTGAAATCAATAAAACTTATGTTTTAAACTCTTGGACCCTTGATACAGGATGTGGTTTTCATATTTGTTCTGATATACATGGACTAAGGGAAAGTGAAGAGGTAGGGCATGGGAAGTTAAACCTGATCATGGGGAACAGGCGAAAGTTGATTGTCACTAGGATTGGAGTTTATGAGCTTATGTTTATTTGAACAACTGTTGTTATTCGTCAGAAATGATAAGAACCATAATTTTATTTCATGCTTAGTTTAAACAAGGATATTGTTATAATTTTAACAATAGTGATGGTGCAATTTTAGTTTATAAAAATGGTGCGTTTATTTTCAAAGTTTATCCTTGTAATGGTGTGTATGAAACTAGTGTGTGTATGAATGAACTTGGCAATAATGTTGTTAGTATTAATTATTCTAATGGTTTTGACAAGGCTTGCTTACAGAATTGTTGTCTTGGACACATTAACAAGAAACACATCGCCCAACTCCAAAAGGATGGAGTGTTGTAATCATTTAAACTTTAATTAGACGATGAATGAGAGTCTTGCTTATTGGGTAAGATGATTAAATCACCTTTTCACTGGTACTTATGAAAGAGGTGAAAGATTATTAGACCTCGTGCATACAAATGTGTGTGGTTCTTTTAGATCAGCCACAAGGGATGCCAATCACTATCACGTGACATTTACTGATGATTATAGTAGATATGGGTATATCTACTTAATCAAACATAAATCAGAAACCTTTGAAACGTTCAAAGAGTTTAAGCACAAGGTAGAGAATCAATTGGGCGAGAAGATAAAGATGCTCCGATCTGATAGAGGTGGAGAATATATTAGCATCGAGTTCAACGACTATCTAAAGGAATGTGGTATCGTTTCACAACTGACACCTCTTAAGACACCACAACTTAATGGTGTAGCTGAGAGGCGAAATCGAACCTTGCTTAACATGGTTTGTTCCATGATGAGTCGAGATTCAATCCCTATATCATTTTGGGGGTATGCCTTAAAGAAAGTCGCCCATATCCTTAATCTTGTTCCCACTAAGAAGGTTGTCAAAACACCTCATGAGATGTGTACAGGTAAACGTCCCTTGCTCGCACATATCAATGTATGGGGTTGTAAGGTTCTCA